TTTTCATTTTTGGTCACTGTAGCATATCTTTTGTATATAACAGTTCATGATCAGAGTGGAAAATCATTTGAATCAGTTTTAAAAATATATTCAAGTGCTACCTGCATATTTTCTACTCCCATAGAATATTATTTTACAAATTTTATGAAGTACAGGTTCTTATCTTATAAATTGCTTCCACATTAAATACATAGTATTATGTCAAGTTATCTATAGGCAGTTAATAAAATAATTCCATTCAGCTCTATGTTCAATAAGTCTCCTAGGTTTCCACTCATACTTAGAAACAAAGTCTTCCAAACATGTATATTCTGTCTTCACTCAATGCTCATCCCATTCCTACCTTTGATTTATCAGCCATATAAACTCAAAACTTAAGTTTTAATCTCCCCACATGTCAGGAGAGGTCAAGTTTCCTATGTTAGGTCAGTTCTCCCTTCTTTCAGAGTGGATTCCTGCAATAAACCACAGATTCCCCAGCAAAACCGCTGAGGGTTTGTTGATTTGGTCCTCCAGTAGTAAAGAGATTAGTGCCTCTTCAAGCTATTAACCAGACAAATGTACAGTTTCAGAATCCATATTACAGTACTCTCTAGAACACTCTCAGCTAAAGCAAGAGTATTTCAAAGAAGACAAGAAGGTACTCTGTAACAAAAAGTCAACTCCTATGACCAAGCAATTTGTTCCTTAATAGTTTTACTATAAACATGAAAAGTTTCTAAGGATAATCTTCCATAGTCATTTTTCAGTTTAAATTGAAAATACCAGCTAGAGACGTGCGACCAGTTCAGGCATTAGGTCTACCACCTCTACCTATCCTCTGGCTGTCCCTCTGTGTTTACTGATAATATATAAAAAGATGGACTGTATACATCACATTTCCACTTCTGAAATTATTTTCCTCCACCATTTTGTATGTGATTGTTACATTTAGCGTTTAGTTCATCAGTTGCTAGTGGTTAATTTGGGCTCAGGAGCCAACATCACCAGAAAACAGTGGACTCTGAAACCTTGGTCCATGCCATGGTCTCTTCAGGCTTTAGCTGGGAGCACCTGTGGGCTGCTGCCCCCTGGGGATACAAGGAGCATATCTGGAGGCATTTACGCAAAGGCTGGCCCATGTGTGGCAGGGGCATCAGTGGCATTAAATGTGTGAGCAGGAGGCTGTGCTGACTGGACAACCGAGGGTTAGGCTGACAAGGACATCTTGGAGCATCTGTTCCAGCTCCTTGGCCTCTGGCCCTTGTGTACTGGACAAGCAATAAACATCTTACTTGAGCTAGGCCAAATAGATTCTGTCCCATGTACAAATTCAAAATGAGAAACCCAGAAATTATTGTGTGGGAGGTGAGTTCATTAATGGCAGAATTCTAAGGGAGAGCCTCATCCAAAAAAGAGGGGAGATGAGACAGAAATGAAAGGGAGGTAGAAAAGCAGTCACATGAGGAAGGGAAAGCTGCTCGGGTTTCCAGGGACTTTTCTGACACTTTTCCAGGCCTCAGTGTGGCTTCTACATGCATCTAGCTTTCCTTAAGTTTATTTGTATAGATTTCTGTTGCCCTGCATGAGGTAGCATATTCATTTTCTTCAGAATATATATGGTTGGGGCCAGGGACATAGCTCAGTGGCACAGGGCCTGCCTGGCAAGGGCAAGGTCCTGAGTTCAAGTCCTTGGTTGCTTTTCTTTTGTTGCTGAGACAAAATATCTGACATCCAAATTAAAGAAGGAAAGCTTTTATTCAGCTCACAGTCTGTGGAGTTTCAGTCCATACTCAGCTGGCTCCAAGGCAGAGTGGCACACGGCAGAGAGCAACAGTTCATGGAAGTGGAAGACAGCAAAAGCAGCAAGAGTAAAAGGAGAGGAGAGGCAGCTGGAAGGCAAGCCCCTTTCCCTCCCTTACGCTGTATGCAAGGTATCAGCCCCAGGGAGGGTGCAGCACTCACACCCGTAATCCCAGCATCGGAGCATGAATCAATCATAACTCTAGAAGCCGCCCCATGACTGCAGGAGGATTTGGAGGGGACAGCCAGACACAGACCGTAACAAATCTATGTGGTTATTCTGAGAAATAGTAAAAAATTTTTGTCACAGTTACGGAATAATCTTGACCAGTTCCGCAGACACCAGCCTACACATCGGCAGCGGACTCGGGAGTACCGTGCTTCTCCAGGCGCTGAGCCTGTATTTGCTGGTTTGGTGTCATAGCTTGTGTCTAGATTGCCCCAAAGCCTCATCTGCTCATAGGCGGCCTTTTCCAGAGGTGGCTGGACCTAGAATGCATGACGCTGGGGTGACTCATGGTGCAATGCTAGGATCAAGGGTGCTGGGACTAAGGGTGTGAGTGCTGCCTGCCCGAAGTAGCCTGGATGATAGTACAGGGGATAGAGCAAGCTGTGGCTGTCCCTTGCTTGTTTTGCTGCCTTCTGCCCACCACACTCTGCAGTGGTTACTTTTCTTTTCTTTTCTTCCATGCCGTCCTGTGCTGGAGCCAGTGAGTATGCACTGACACCCTGCAAACTGCGCTAAACAGACTTTTCCTTCCTTAATTTGTCGGTGTTGGGTGTTTTGTCACAGCAATGAGAAAAGAAACTAAGACGTATGGGTAGGAACCAGGCAGAGCTCTAGCTATAACCCTAGGCTCTTTTGTTTTTATGGACTTCACCCTCCATAAAACACATCAAAAGTTCTATTTTATGACCACATTGGTATGAAGATAAATGCCATCATGCTGGATTCATTATTTTATGTTCACTATGATGATCATTTTTCTTTCACTTTGTAAAATTGAAAACATTTTTGTGGGCTTCTGAATGTATCAAGGGCCCTGGGCACTGTGCTTGGCATGCCTGATAGATAAATCAAGCCTGGTTCCAGGAGAGCTTCAGGGTCTAGTTACCCAATGACACAGAAGTGTTTCAAAATTTCAGCTATAGGCACAGCCGTACTGTTGACTACCAGGTGAGTACCTACCCTGCAACATATCTCTGTGTCTGTCATCAGTGGAGGTGTTTAATATATACAACTGAAAGCATTTACGCATGCTACTGCATATGTACAGTTGAAAGAGAAATCACAGAAACATGTTGTATTTTCTGTTGGCAGACAGGTACATTTAAACGCAGAAGGAATGTTTAGGAAAGACATACACACAAGCTTGAGCAAAATGGCTATCCCTAAAGGACGGAGAGACAGTGGTGTCATAAAAGATATTTGAACGGCACTCTTACTTCATGTGAATGTGGTAATTACTTTGCAAGAGAATTTATTTCATGTTACACATGTAAAGGAAGCACTAAATACCCAGTTAGAAGCTAAATAGACCATCAGGCCTAAGGAAGACTGTTGCTAAGTCCAGATTTGTCCTGAAGGATTATGAGCTGCACAGCTAAGCACAGAGGCCCCGTAGCCAAACAGCATAGCCTCGCATCCCATCCATGTCGCAGACCGGATAGATACTCAGCGCCTCCATCTCTTGGTGCCCTTAGGTGTAGAGCGGAAAGGATAATAGCAACCTCTTTTAGGAGATTATTGTAAGGATCAAATGAGTCCATAGATACAAAATTCTTGGAAATGGTGCCTAAAATATGTTTAGTTCACATTATTGCAAGTGGTACCATCAATTATTTTTATTTTCAATACATCCTACATACCGCTCAGTGAGTTCTATAGAAGGCGGGGAGCCGCTGCTGTCCGCGCAGATTCAGGGAGACTTGGTGCGGACCAGGGTGTGTGAGAAGAAAAAGGCATTCCCAGGAAAGTAGCAGCGTCAAAGGGCAAGTCGCAGAGGGAGGCAGGAAGGCCCACACGAGGAGCCCCCTCTCTCAGACCAGGGGAACACAGGTGTCTTCCCGCAGCCCGTTCCAGAAAACAGCCGTGTCTCATGCTGTCCAAACCGAGCGCAGCCCAGCTGTGCGCCGGGCTACGCTTAGAGGCGAGGTGCTGGGGAAGAACAGAATGTCAGCTGCACGTATTCCCGAGAAGGCCAGTGAACGTAAGTGCAGAAGAGGTTCAAGTCTTCGTCTAAATTCGCTCCCACCACAGCGTCATGCCTTTCCCAAAAGCACCCGTGTGGTTTTTGGCAGAATGCATGTCTACTTCCCTGAGCTTTATTTTTTAATGTCTGAGAAGGAAATGCTCCCCTTCCTCGTGGAGCTTACATTTTATGGCCAACAGAAAAACTGGCTATCAAACTGACATGCAAATTAGGTATAGTTTGTCACCAGCCATAGGAAAGAAACATAAAGCATGCTGTGATAAAGAATCATTAAATAAGAAGGTGCCCTTAGATAAGGCAATTAAAGAAAGGGGTCCCGAGAAGGTGAGTTCTACACTCAGTCTTACAGGGAAACAGCAACCAGCTGTGCAAGAGGAAAAGCGTTGCAGTCAAACAAATATAAACCATAAAGACCATGATATGGAAATGATGCATATGTTTAAGGAAATATCAGAGACAAATATCAGGAATTATCAGAGTCTCTAGTTTGAAAGGTACAAGCCAATGGGAAATGAATCCGAGGAGTAGTGGTCAGATGATGTTGATTCAAAAGAAAATGTAAACACACCTGTAATCTCAGCACTGTGGGAAGTTAAAGCAGGAGGATCAAAAGTTTGAGACCAGCCTGGGCAATTTAGTGATTCAGCAAGACCTGGTCTCAAAATAATAAAAAGGGTTTGGACAGAACTGATTGTGAAGGCCCTAGGGTTTAATCCCTCGTACCCTGAGCCTGACCCCAAAAGAACTGTAAGATGGGAACAATAGGATCTGATATCTTCCACTCTTCGTAATTTGTGAAAGTAAAGGAATTACTAATTAGACGTATCTAAAGAGAGGCTAGAGGGTGATGTGGTTCATGACAACGGCGGGACAGAGAGGCAGAGCTTTCATAAGACTTTTTCCCCCCATTCATACCGTAACTTCATCTGAGCTACAAACAATTTAAATTATTATTGCTATTCTGTTAATAAAGCAAGAAAGACTTGAAAAAGTTTAGGATCTTACCTCAGTTCACAAGTAAGTATGTGGTCAAATTAGATACATAATCCAGATTTTACCAGTCCTGCCTTCTTTCTGCTAAAATAGACCAAGAGGCCCAGGACAGGGACACACGAAATCTTCCCCACTGTGGCTGCTATGCAGTGCCTTATGGAGGAAAAAGAAAGGTCTGTGTTCATGACGTGGAAAAATAAGTGAGATACCTGCAATGCAAAGATTTTCCAGGAATGTATCACTCTGTATGGAGGACAAGAGGCAGGGGGTTAGAACCCATGATCCCCCAAGTTATGCAGAATCCAGCTAGGCCTGCTCTGCTCAACTGCTTAATTGCTGAAGCTGCAATCTATGACCTCCGAAATGTTGTTCCAACTCATTCGTGCAACTGCAGAACATTTGGAGAGGATTTGCACCATGTGTTCAGTTGAGCTGGGTCTTCCTCTGTTCAACTGAGCAGGTCTCTAGTGTGTTGTTTTATTTGGGACAGGCCAGAATTTGGCAAGTTTACCTAAATCAACACCAAATTCCAGGAGTTTGAATACTGACAGAAAATCTTTTTTTTAAGTTTTTTTTCCAATGGTTTTCATTCAAGAAAAGTACTAACATGCAGTAACTGAGACAGACTGCCTATGAGAGAGTGTTTAACAGCTCAAAGCTCTGTGCTCCCATTCCAAATTACTTGTATCTGTAAGCTCTCAGGAGAGCTGATTAAGTACGGATGCTTCATAGCATCATATATCAGTGAGGAACGCAGTTTCTGGTGTCTTTTCATCACTGCTGCTATGCCGGTTAGTGGTCATGCTAGTTAATCCACACCTCATTGAGGCACACTGGAATTCCCAACACAAAGCTCCGTGATAACAAAATCCTACTACCTGCTGGGTAGAGTGTGGGCAGGTGTTCCAAAATACTAAGGTTCATCCCTGATGGTTTGTAAAGTAACTTAGGGGACATTTGGAAGAACAGTTTGGGTGAATATGGGCATCTTTTAATGCATACTCAAAAAGAATATAATAAACATTTTACATTTGTGCTTTTTTACAAACATAAAAAAACCTCAAAATTTACAGGGATAATGTCAGGTAACGTGAAGCTATCATTTTAAAAAAAAGTTATTATGATGACGTACCAATACCTGACAACCAGGAAATATGAATGGAGCTCAAAGAGCAATGAATCAGAAATGGTTAACATAGGCCCATTGGAAATGTTTAAACATTAATGCTAGAGACTATGAATTCCTTAAAATTATATTAGTTTCTTCTTGCTATTATACCAAAGACCCCAAAACTTTAGAGTCGTAAAGCAGTACAAGCTGATTTACTTACAGCTCTGGAGCTCAGAACACTGAAATGTGTCACACAGGCATGAAACCTTGCTACTGTCAAAATTGTCTTCCTAGTTGTTCTTGATAATGTTTCAAGAAGTGGACATCCTTGTCTTATTCCTAATTTAAGAGGGAAAACCTTCATATTTCCCAATTTAATATGAGGTTGGCAGTAGGTTTGTTATAAATGGCTTTTATCAGATTGAGCAAAGGTCCTGCTACATTTATTTTCTTCAGGATTTTTATCATGAAAGGACACTGGATTTTGTCAAAGGCTTGTTCTGTGTCTTTTGAGATGATCATGTGATTTTTGCCTTTGCTTCTGTTTATGTGATGGGTTATATTTATTGATTTGCATACATTGAACCGTCCTTGCATCTCTAGAATGGAGCCTACTTGGTCATAATGTATGACCTTTTTGATGATTCATTGCATTCTGTTTCCCAGTATCTTGTTGAGGACTTTTGTTGGGTTAATAACCCTTAGTCATTGTGGGCTGATCAGGCCTGCAATCTCCCAAATGAGTGGACAGGAAGGCTGAAATAAATGAGACAACTGAAATGATTTTGGAGCTCCAGGAGGATCCAACCTTCTCACAGAATTTGAGATTCTCTGGGTTAAGACAAAGAACTTCCCTAGGTGGCCCATATTTATTTAGTTTTCAAACAAAGAAGTGGGGTACTGAAGAACATGCAGGAATCTGGGCAGGAGTTGGGAATCCCTCTAAGGACTTTTCCAGGCCATACTTTGCATTAATTTAGTAGAACTATGTTATCTCAAGGAAGGCCCTCACTGCAGGAGTGAGATGCCTTCAGCTGCAGTCTCTTTTTAATTAATTGGGGTTGGAGCCAAAGGTCCTCAGCTGTGGCCTTATCTTGTCCTTTGAGGTACCTCAACTTCACAGGCTAATATAGGCCTCAGTGGGGACTAGTGACTCATGGCGTTCACTTACTATGAGTTCACTGCCCATCTCCAGACGAGGGCCTAGGCCTTGGGCAAACTCTCAAGTAAGCATGAAAAGCCAACTGGTTAATATTAAATCCTGCTCAGAGCTGCTTCACAGTGGGCTCCATCAGACTTCTGCATCTTTGTTTGTTAAAGAAATTGTTCTATAGTTCTCTTTTTGGTTGTAACCTTGTCTGGTTTTGGAATCAGTGTAATCACAGCTTTCAGCAATGACTTTGGGAATACTCCCTCCCTTTCAGTTTCATAATAAGATTGAGGATATTGGAAACATTAGCAAGAGCAATTGGGAAAGAAAAATAAATAAAAAGGATATATTCAGGAAGAGATCAAATCATTATTTGCAAAAGACATGATAGTCTACATAGAAGACCCAAAAATATCCAGCAAAAGATTATAAGAATTAATAACCAAATTCAGTCATGTGGCAGGATATAAAATCAATACACAAAAATCAATAGCTTTCTTGTACACTAATAATGAACCTACTGAGAAAGAAATTATGAAAACAATACCATTCACAATCACAATGAGAAAAATTAAGCCAGGCATAGTGGCTTATGCCTGTAATTCTAGCACTCAGGAGGCTGAGACAAGAGTATCTCTGTGAATTTAAAGTTAGTCTAGACAACATAGTGAGTTTAAGGCCCTCCTGGACTACATAGTGAGATCCTATCTCAAAAAAGAAAAAAAGAAAGAAGGAAAGAAATAAGCAAATGTAAAGATAGCCCCTGTTCTTCAATGGAGAGAACAAATATAGTTAAAATGCCATCTTTCTAAAATTGATGTAAATATTTAATTTAATCCCAATAAAAATTCCAATGGTCTTCACAGAACTGGAGCAAACAATGCTAAAATTCTATGGAACCAGAAGAGACCCAGAATAGCAAAAATAGTGCTAGGTAACAAAAGCAAGGCAGGAAGCATCACAGTCTCAGACTTGAAGTTATATTACAAAACTACAGTACCAAAAACGGCACTGCATTGGCACAAAAACGGACATGAGGATCAGTGGAACAGAGCAGAGAATACAGAAACATCCACAAGCACACTTTGATGAAAGGGCCAAGAAAACACTGGAGAAAAGTTAGCCTCTTTAGTAAATGGTGCTGGGTAAACTGGCTATCTACATGCAAGAGTGATGCTAGATCCACACCTTTTACCGGGCACTAAACTAATACCAAAACAAAAACCCTTCAAAATTGCTGGAAGATAAGACAGATAAAAATCATGAAGTCATAGATGAAAGCAAAGACTTTCTGAACAGTAAGGAACCTGGTTGCACAGAAAATAGTACCCAGAATCAACAAGTGGGATTATATCAATTTCAAAGCTTCTGTAGAGCAAAGGAAACAACTAACAGAGTGAAAAGATGACCTACAGAATGGAAAAAATATTCCTCAGAAAGAGGACTGATACCTATTACATAGAAGGAACTAAAACCTACACCTTCAAAATAAAAGACCCAATCAAAAATAGCAAGTGAAATAAATAGGTGCTTCACAAAAGAAGTACAGATGGCCAATAGATACATGAATGAATGCTCAATATCACTGGCCAATAGAGAAATGCAAATTAAAACAACACTGATGTTCCATCTACCCCAGAAAGAATGGCCATCAGCAAGTAATTAAATAAGCACTGGTGAGACTGTGGGGGAAAATAAATCCTTCAATATAGTTGGTGGGAATGTTAACTAGTACAACCACTATGGAAATCAGTATGGATATTCCTTTAAAAATTGAAAATAGAAAGTTCATTTGACCCAGCTATTTCCATTCTAGGTTTCTTCTTGAAAGAGCTAAGATCATCATATAGCAATACAACCTGTGTTTATAGCAGCACAATTCATAATAGCTAAACCTTGGAAGGTTTAGCTTGGAAGCTGGCTATATGCCCATTAACAGATGAATGGAAAAGAAACTGTGATATTTACACATAATGAAGTGCTACTCTTAAAGTGCTGCTCTTATCCCATAAAGATAAACTTGAGTCATGTGTAGAAAATTGATGCATCTTGAGGCCATACTGTTGAGTGAAATAAACATACAAGCTTAAATATCATGTTTCTCTTAGATGAGAAACCCAATGTATAAATAAAGAAAAAATAAAAATAGGTTACAGAAAGTACAAAGCTATATTTTTTTCTCAAGGGAGAAGAGGATCAGCCGATGTAAAGAGAAGCAAGGGAGGGGAGGAAAAAGAGATAAAAAGTAATTAGATGTGTTATGTACATGTACCAACTTCAGATAAGGAATGTAAACATTTTACATTGCAGGGATGTACAAAAAAAGGAAGGAATCAAGAGATTGAGGAAGGAGAACAAAAAAGGAAAAAGAGATAAAAAAGGAGGTAAAATATATTATGCATGTGTACCAGTTTCTCACAATGAACAAAAATATTATGTACTATAGACATTGGTACATAGACATGTACCAATAATAATTTTCTTAAAACTGCATTCCTCTGAAAGCTGTAAGGGAGAATTTGTTCCTCAACTTTTCCAGCTTCTAATGGCTGCAAAAATTTCTTTCCTGATGACTGGAACACTCCCATCACTGCTTCTGTCATTATGTCTCCCTCTCTTTCTCTGGCTCCTGTACCTCTCTTTTACTTATAAAGAATACATGTGATTACACTGAATCCACCTCTATCTCTTTGCATGAATAATATAATCTCTTTGCATGATGACCCTGAACTTAACCACAGCTGCAAAGTCTACTTAGAGCCACGCAGATGCAGCAAAGATTTGATTTTCCTATGCCAAATAGGTAAGTAGACAATTAAGGGGGGGAAATGAAACAGCTGTTTTCACTCATTGGCCTTTGTGCACAGCAAGATTCTGATCTCTGAGAGAAGGAAAACAAGAGAGATGATTGCTAAAATCATGCTCATTTTTTGTCTAATGGAATTTAGTGCAGGCCACAGAGGAGAGTGGGCATTCCATGCAGTGCATAAGAGACATCAGTAAGTTAAGAAGACAAAAGTATGACTTCAGGAAGACTAAGGCGGCTGCAAGTTGCAGAGAAAAGTTCTGAGATTAGGGATGTATGCAAAAAATAAAAAGCGTCAGAAATCTGTCTGTGATTCTTAACTGCGTAAAGTGGACCCCTGACTTATGGATTCAGCTCATTCAGGAGGGCTGTTTGTGACTCAATATGGTTGTAAATCGATACTATTTTTCTCATAAGAAATAATGGAAATACCCATAATGCATTCCAAACCTTCCACATCACTCCTTAACTAACCTTTTCATAATAAAAATGGTTGCATAGTGTGCATAATTTACCAGAAACACCAATAATTTTCCTACTGTATTCAACAAAAAGTTATAAAATGTGCCTATTTTACCAGAAACAATTTCATACTCACTCACCATTCGAGTTGACGTCTTTGGCTTGCAGGAAGGGAGGATGGAATGGAAGGTGGTTACCGTTTGGAAGGGGAGCCCCCTTCCAGAAGAACATCAGCACTCTGGCTCTCTGGTGTCCTTTCTCTCCTTGAGAGAGTCTGTAAGCGCACTATGACCCGCTCCTGGCTCACTAGGTCTCAACCTTTTCAGAACTAAAAACTGGTCTAAGGTTGCATATTTCTGTCTTTAACACTGTCCTGTAGAATATGACTCTGTCATTAAGCAAGTAAAGGTAACAGTTTTTTCTCTGTCTGGGCAGATGTTTGTAGCTCTCTCCATTTTTTCAGGATTTCCTTTATTTCAGAAGAACTTTGCTGCACTGATTGTTGATACTCCCTCTCCTCTTCAGAAATCTCCTTATCTACCATTCTCTGTTGCTCAGCCAGAAGCTATGGATGCTCACCTGTAGACAGTTCCTCAACATCACCACCGTCTACCTGTAAGCCTATGGACTCTGCTACAGGGACAATGTCAGCACCACTGGGCCCACTGAAGACTCGGGATCCTCTACACAGCCTTCAAAGTCTCTCTCCTGTATAATTTTAGGCCACACTTTCTTCTAGGAAGATCTCAGTGTCCTTAGAGAGATATTGGCCCAGGATTTCTCAATTAACCTCACATAGGAAAGGATGTTGCAAGGTTCCTTCCAGAACTCTTTAAGTGTAAAATCTCTATCTGAGACCATCTGGAAGTACTTCAGGAACAGGTCCTTGGTGTATAACTTCTTGACATTAGCTGTAACCTGCTGGTCCTTAGGCTGCAGTACAGGAGTTGTATTAGGTGGGAGGAACTCAACTTAGAGCTGTGGGAATTCTTCAGCCAATTCTGCCAAATCTCGTGGGTGAACAGGAGCATTGTTCATGATGAAGAGAGTCTTGAAAGGTAAACCTTTGTCCTCCACTTCTTAACAATAAAACAGAAAGCCTCCCTGATCCACTCAAGAAAAAGTACTCTTGTTACCCAGGCTTTTCTGTTAGGACTCCATTATGACTTTATGCTTTCTAAACATTATGACTTTATGTTTTCTAAACATTATGACTTTATGTTTTCTAAACATTCTAGGGTTCTCAGAGTGACAACCCAAGAGAGGCTGTATCTTGAGGTCATCACTCACATCGGCACATAGCAATAAGGTTAGATATCCTTCATGGGCTTGTGGCCTGGCATTTGTTTCTCTTCCTGGGTAACATATATTCCCCTGGGCATTTCCTTCCAGAAAAGACCAGTTTCATTATAGTTGAAAACTTGATGAGAACAAAGCCATTTCTCTGGGTCTTCATTTCAAAGTTGTATATATAATTTTCAGCAGCCCTTTTATCAGCACTGGCTGCTTCACCATGCCTAGTTACACTCTGAACCCCAGTTGTCACTTTAAAATTATGAAACCACCCCTCACTGGGATGCAATTTTTCACCTTTATCACTTGTTGATGAATTATCCTTATAAGGTCTGCATTTATAGCCCTAGCTTTTTCACAAACTACAGACTATGATAGGCTATCACCTGTCATCTGCCTTTCGTTTATCCACACTAATAATAGCCTTTCTACCCTAACACTGTTGATCATCACTCACTAATTTGAGTAACACCTTCAGCAACACTAGCTTCCTTATACAAGTCTTTCCTCTGTAAGATCGTCGAAAGGGTGGATTTCAACATGCTGTACACACTAGTGAGATCAGTCACAAAAACACCACTCTCATATTCCTCCATAATTTCTGTCTTCTTTTAAACTGTGATTATTTTCTCTACCTTCCCTCCCTTCCTTAGTTTCTTTTCTGGCTTTCTGGGGGCTATTTTGATAGCGGTAATCATAGTGGTTCTATGAAGCACTGACCAAAATCACATCCACAAACATTCTCATCTGGGCTCAAACTGATACTGAGGTATGCTTACCTGTACCTTTCTGGCATTGCAAGTCTGTTTACAGCCACATAAGTGGCTGACATTCAAGTTGTAACTCAAGACTTTGTTTATAAGTTAAGCCTAAAATTCCTCTTGTAACCCAAGTTCACTTGTGAGGCCAGTCATAACTTGAAAGTCCACTATAGTACTGAGATCTGTGTTCACAGACTGAAAATGAGGAGACTATGCAAGCAGTAACTCAGGAGCTATGGAGTGGATAGTTTACAAAGCTCACCTATGCTGACAGGTATTCTATCCCTGAGCATAAAAGATAGAGAATCTATATTGCTTTAGACATTGAGTAGAAACCTTTAAAAAGATATATTGCAGGAGGTTAAAATATCCCTAAATTATAGGACACTCTACAATCTCCCTAACAAAAGTTTTTAAATGCCTCCAGAAGATGAAAACGAACAAGACAGTGAACTGAACACCACAAGAGAGGCTAACACTTTTTAAAGGCTGACACCAACATCCCGAGAGGTAAATAATATTCACAATACCTAGGCTAGAACACACATGTACTATAAATACCAAGAGGCAGGAAAATGTGACCCATAATCAGGAAAAAAGTTTTCACCAGAAAAACTAATAAATAATAGATTACAAAAGACATTAAAACAGTTTAACCACATGCAAATACTTACAATATATTAATACCATAAAGACACAAATGAAAGACATAAAAATAAGCCAAAGTCAGTATCTAAAAAGAAATCCCATAGTATTTAAAATGAAAAGGACTAGATATTCCGAAGGACAGATAAGTGAAACTGATCACCATCTCAATCACTTCCTTGTCACTGGGACAAAATATCAGAACCCACAACCTAAAAGGGGAGAGAATTATTTTACTTGACAGCTTTTAGAGGATTCGGTCCATAAGGCAGAAACAACATAAGGCCTGGGTGGGTACAGCTGCTCACATCCTGCTGGGCAGGAAGCCGAGAGAAGGGGCAATCCTGGGAGGGAGAAACACCTTTCTAGGTGACCTTCTTCTAACCAGGATTGATCTCCTAGAAGCACACTTAGCTAGGGATTCAACACTAATGAGTAGAACACTCCCATAATCCAATCACCTTTTAAAGCCCCAACCTGAAAATATGAGGTCTTTGCAGGACATTCCAGATCTGAACCATAAGCATGACACAGCACAGTGATTCAAACTGTTCAAATGAAACAGGAACAAACAACTAAAAAGACTGGAAAATGAATGTATCTCAACTACAGCAAGTTGTCTAATATATGTATATTTGGAGTCCCAAAACAAGAGGAGAAGGTGAAAGAATAAAAATTTGGGAAGAAAAAATGGCTAACATTTTTCTGAATTTGATGATACACAAAGCACAATGAATCCAAAGAATATTTCATAAAACAAAAACTTATTTGTCCACAGCATATAATAATCCATTATTTAATGAAAAGAGTGAAAAAAATAAAGGAAAACTTTAAAAGCAAGCAGAAAAAAGTGGAAATAGGGTAACAAATATAGTTGATTTCTTGGTGGTATTTGATGCAAAGACAATGGAACATTTTTAAAGTTCTTAATGTTGAACAGAAAAATAACAGGAAAGAAAAAGAAAAGAAAGAAAGAAATGCTGTATCAACCTATAATTCTAAATCTAGCAAGAATCTTTCAAAAATAAAAAGTAGAGACATTTTTTAGATGAAAAACAATAAAAAAAATAGAAATCATCTCCAGCCACCCTGTATTGTTTGATTTGTTAAAGAAAGTCCTTAAGAACAAGGAAAATTATACCTTACAGAAATGTATATCTTCACTAAGGAGTCAAGCATAAAAGAAATGGTAGATATTTGGATAAATATTTTAAGCCACCAAGGAGTCAAGCACAATAGGAATGGTAGGTATTTGAATAAATATTTTGAACTTTTCTAATTTTATTTTACTTAAAAGATAAAGCACAACTACTAACATTTTGTATGATTTATAACATATATATATATGTCTAAAGTAAAAATAAGAAAAATGTATGATCACAATAAAGAAAACAAAAATGAAAATATACTGTTTTAAGTTTCTTTCATGACAAATGAAATGATATAATACCATTATAAAATACAAAGTGAAAAGCTTAAAAAGATTTTTAAATTTAGAGAAACTACTAAAGACTCAATCAGCAAGGTCTAACTAATAAGCTCTTAAACCAGTAGAAGACATAAAATGAAATTATGAAAAATTCTTCATCCAAAGAAGGTAGAAAATGAAGAAAAGGAGAAAGAAGGGGCATGATAACTAACAGCAAGATGGTGACTTTAATCCAGTTTGAAAGAAAACTGGCTTGTTAGGTAAAGTACAGTAAAGCAGAGGTTTTCACAAAGAATTTCTCAAAAGCAAGATTAACTATGTGCTGTCTTCAAGAAAGAAATCTTAAAGAAAAGATACAAAGTGGATAAAAGTAAAAGAATAAAAAAAATGCCATGGCAATATTAATCCTAATAGTGGCTGCAAATAGGTATTTCACTGTTATTTCTTTCCTGTTTTTTTTAATGGGATGATGTTGTGTAAGAATTCGTTGAAACCGAATGGATCTTACGAATATGCATATTAACACTCCTCAAGCAGGCTGAGGGAACACGAGACACACAAGCAGGCTTTGAGTGTTATTTGGTATGGAATTAAAGCTAACTGAAGCATTTTGATGAAATTCAGAGCAGAGGGACCACTGACTGTCCAGTTTTGTCCCCTCTGAAAGCCTTGACATTTTGTCTGTTTATGAAGCATGTGTAGATTCAGGCCTTCTCCTAAGCAACAGAGAGCCTGTCCAAAAAGCACTAACTGAAAATTAGAAAGTTCAGCCCAGGGATATTCTAAACAATGATTTCATACTTTGGGTTTATCCTAGGTTTCCCTGAGTTTCCAGGGTAACCATTGAGTGTATAGACTTGGCATCTTTGGGGTTAAGATATAGGGCAAAACTCTATGAAATTAATGGAACAAAATTCTTTTGCAGTCTCTAAATGTATCGAGCAGCCCAAGCAAGGTTTGCTCTAGGAATTGCGTCTAGCTCCTCTTCCATCCTTTCTCTGTGATTCCCTTTGGATGGAAAGACAGTAGAATAGCACAATCTTCTACTTCACCACGGGGAACTGGCTAGTCTAAAAAGAAATGAAGGAAAAACATTGCAAGTCCTGATATTATTTTTATTAACACACACTTGCAGTTCATGATGTTTATGTACACTCCTTGCGTGGAGATGGTGTGTGTACAGAACACACCTTAATTTCGTCTGTCATACCCTTCCCCTCCTTCCTCTCCCTTCCCTCCATCTCTTGACCCCTTCCCATTTGAGAAAGATCTATCTCCCTACTTCCTTTATCTAGCTTTTCTTTTGCTCGTTATTTATAATTTGGGTTTCTCATATAAGAGAAACCATGTGATATTTAAACTTGCCTGATTTATTTCACTTAACATTATGGTCTTGATATTAACATGCACTAGCAAAGATCATGTTGAGAAACTTCATCTGGGAAATCTTTTTGGAAACTCTGGGGTAAGCAGAAAGGCCACCAGAAAGTTACGTGTGTGGAGGTGTGCAGGCCTCCTGGAAAGGAGAGAACTTCAGCAGAAATCTTGGTAACGCCTAGTCTGTCTCCTCTCCTCATTCCCCACTAGGTCACAAATGACAGCACTGGGACAAAGAAAGGAAGGGTAAATTACTGCCGGCACCTGACAAGGAGATCGCTCAGAAAGAAACTAGCTGTACCTAAGTACAGGACCGAGTTCTTCTCAGAATAGCACTTGGATTAGGAATGCTAATTATGTATCACACGCTGACAGTGCACAACAACCCAGCATTCTACGGAGCCTAGCCAGAACTCCTCAGTAGCAAGACAGATACTCAGGCATCACCTGCTTACAGACTTCTAGCATGTCTAGTTTCAAAATCATCAACCAAGTTATGCCCAGAGCAAAATACTGTAAACCCTGCCGCCACCACAGCTGCTGTCATCGGTGATATTTTATTCTTAGCAGCTCCCCGGTTAGTCAGTCTGCACTGTGGTACTTCTATCTCTG